AACGGCAGCCAGCTGCTGCAGTGGGAGCCACAGGACTCCTGCCTTTCTGCCTCCCAGCACTTTTGTAATTGTGGCGTAACTCCAGATTAGTTTTTCCTTCCTCTTCTTTCTTGTCCTCTTTCTTTTCTGCCTTCTCTATGCAAAGTCAGCAATTCAAAAGTTCAAACTTCACCAGCAGTGGGGTTTGAGAGGCAGAAGTTGGAGATGGCTGAGAGCTGGAGGGAGGGCTCCCGGTGCCAAGCCCTGCCCAGGCCACTGCTCCTCGGTGGGGGCTGGATGGAAGGAAGGGGTAGAGGAAGTGTGACCTACCCCTGTGTGACAGGAGAGGAGAAAACCAGCATGTGGCTTTTAGCAGTCCTACGCTGTTTAGCACAAATTTCATGTCTGCAGGGCTCTTGGAAAAGGGGCTTAAAGGCCACAGGGATTGTGTCCAATTTTTGCATCTTGTGGGCTCCAAAACCAGCCCTGAAGCAAATCTGATCACAATACAGCACCTATCGAGTTGAGGTCCTGGAGGAAGGGGCTCATGTTCTCATATTTTGCAGCTATGCAAGGTTTGGATGAATTCAGCTGTAGAGAGACCCAGTTCTGAAGCTCATCTTCTTATCAACATCTTATACCTCAGAGAGAATAAAGATCTTTAAAGGAAACTGTCAGACTATGGTGCCCAAAAATCCAAGTTGTTCAACAATATGGGGAGCTTTTTTCTCTCGTGTCTCTGTTAGAAGAGAATTAGTTAACTAACACTGAAACTCACTCTGGCTTTTTAGATGATGCTGACGACTTGTTTCTCTCCCAGAAACCTCCACATCCAGTAGCCAATATCAGCCACACCTGACAGCAATAAAGATCCCCAATCCGCTCCACTTTGGCAAGACTCATGGAAAACAGGGAGCCAAGCAGAAGAGACTCTCGGTGCCCCTGCAGGGAGAAAGGCTGGGGCAGGGATTCCCTCATTGGAGATGGAGTGCTGGGTCAGAAAATCAGCATTGAGTCCACATTGCAGCCTCCAGAAACTGTCTCTTCCACTGCCACAGCTGCTTGGGAGTTGTGTTTCCTTTCCTTGCAGGCTACTGTGGAATCAAGGTGTTCCTCAGACACCTCAGTGGCCTGAACTGTGAGAGAAGCAGCTTTGCTTACCGCTCACCCTTCTGTTCAGATGTCTTACTGGCCACCAGGAAAAATGCTAATGACAACAGTTGAACTATCCTGAGTTTAAATTGGGATTGAACAAATCTGATTAAATTTAGTTTTACAATTTTAGATCACAAACACAGTATTTACAAAAAAAAAAAAAAAAAAAAAAAAGCAAAGATTTTTATCTCAACTTTATCAGCAAAACAACAGCCACCAGTAAGGTAGGTTCTGCAATATTTTGGACTCAGTGCTGTTGAGCAGATGGTATTTATTGACAAACCTGCTGTTGAACTGTTTGCATTCCCAGGGCTGTAGGTGCAGTCAGCCCAAAGCATATTCACTACTCATTACTAAAATACTCATTTCCCTGGAAAACCATCTGTGTCATTCAGTCATGGCAGAAGCCCAGAAACATCCGTTCCCTCCACTGACACAACCCCCCAAGCACTATTTATGTGCATCCATGCCTGGACTGCAATTCCCTCATTACCTGCCCTACAGTAAACAGAGGGCAGCAAAATGAATGAGAGGTAAACTGCACACATAATTTCCAGCTTTCATCTTTACAAAAAGGAACTAAAACATAGGTGCAGGAAAGTGGCCAAGAGCAAGACTTATTCCATTAGACTGAAGAGCAGTCTCTCCTACTAAGTAACAAGGGACAGGACAAGAGGAAATAGCCTCAAGTTGTGTCAGGCAAGATTTAGACTGGATATCAGGAAAAATTTCTTCACCAAAAGGGTTGTCAAGCATTGGAACATGCTGCCCAGGGCAGTGGTGAAGTCACTATCCCTTAAGGTATTTAAAAGATATGTAGAGTGGCACTTAGGGACATGGTTTAGTGGTGAACTTGGCAGTGCTGGCTTAGTGGTTGGACTTAATGATCTTAAAGGTCTTTCCAACCTAAATGATTCTGTGACTCTACCTGCAGCCATCCATGCTGTGCACAGGATAGCTTGAACCCAGAGCAAGTCAATGCGCTGACTGAAGAGGGACATTTGAACTCATATTTGGGCCTGACTACCACATCAAGTAAAGACAGAGCCATGGTAATGGGAAAAACTCAACTCATTTTATGTGAAATTTAGGCTTCCTAATATGGAATAAAATAAGTGAGTCGCTACTGGGGGAGGAGGTAGCACAGAATAGCCACTGTGCTTCAGCTCATACTCTCCTTTATTGCAAAACAGCTTCCCTGTTTAGACAGGCCCTAAGAGATGTAGACATATGTAATGTGTATTTAATCTTTCCATCTCTTCTTTTCTTACTGTTTTGATGTTTCCTCAGGCTTTGAAGATTCAAGATCTTTATTTTCCAGAAACTACAAGCCTTAAAACAAAAATAAGGCAGCTGGAAACTGCCTGCTGCCAGCCAGACTAAAGAGTTTGTAACTTTTTCCAGCACAGGAAATGTTCAATATTTTAATAGCAGTGACCATGTTTTAATGCATTTATGCCCTTAGGGCTATAGAAATCCTTCATTCACAACATTACCCACCCCCGTTCATAGGACCACTAATACTTGTTCAGTGTCATTGTGCTTTTCAATGGTATTGAAAGAGACCCTGCTTGCCTTTGTTGTTGTCTTTATACATGTATTGGGGCAGACTGGAATGGAGTTAATTTTCCCCACAACTGCCCTCATAGAAATACACCCTGTAAGCCATGTAAACCCACCCTGTAAGCCATGTAAACCCTGAAACACCATCCTAGGCCTTGACAGGTACATTTTGTGGTGACATGGTACCCCAGTAAGAATTGAATCTGACAATGGGACTAATTTCCAAAATAATTTCATGAACTCCTGGGCTAAGAAACACATCGAGTGGGTATATCACATCCCCTATCACCCACAATCATACTGAAAGATTGAGAGATATGATGGACTGTTAAAGACTATGTTGACAGTGTTGGACAGTGGGGCATAGAAGCAGTGGGATATAAATTTAGCAGAAGCCACTTGGCTGGTTAACACCAGATTGGCTAAACCTCCTGGTCCTCCCTAAACAAAACCCCTATATACTGTGGAAGGAGAAAAGGTACCCATAGTACACCTAGGGAATGTTTCCTCCTTTACTGCTTTTATACGTGTACTGCAATAGCAGATGGTTGGGTGTGTGTCTAGCCCACATATTTATGGAGCATCTCACTTTAGGGATAATGTAAGCAATAGAGCTTGAATCAGTACCCTAAAATATGACTTGACTCTCAGAAGCTGCTAGAGTCTTGTTTATTACACTCGTATTCAACAGCCTCCTTATTAGTCTTACTTTTTGTGGTTTTACTTCAAAGTTGTAACCTAAAATAACTATTGCTGTGTTCCATCATTTATTTGTATGAGTGTTCACACTTACATTAATGTACTATAAATGCAGAAGTTAAGAAAATACTCTTCCGTGGAATGGCTTGGGAAGTGTTCTGATTGAGTAATAGTGATGCTGCAATTTTTTCCTCACTGTATAGGGTTTGGCTGCTCCACAGGGCAGTGGTGGAGTCACCATCCCTGGAGGGATTTAAAAGACATATAGATGTGGCACTTGGAGACATAGCTGGGCTTGGCAGTGCCAGGTTGATGGTTGGACTCTATGAGCTTAGGGGTCTTTTCCAACCTAAATGATTCTCTAGTCCCATGAAACAGGCTCAGCAGAGGAGGTTGGGCTCTTTTTTTTCAAATGTTACTTCTGCAATCAAACTCTGCAAGAGAAAAGTTTTCTGAGGAGCTTTTATTCTTTCTCCTCAACCTGCAAGGGAGTTTCCCTCCATGAGGTCCTTCCACACCTCTGCCTCCCTGCAGACCGATGCTGCCGTGCTGGGCTCCACAGGAACACTCATCCCACCAAAATCTAGTAGAACCTGGTCTACCGGAGGGTGTGCCTGCCCATGGCAGGGGGGTGGAACTAGGTGGTCTCCAAGGTCCCTTCCAACCCAGGCAGTTCTATAAGTCTGTGATAAAAATCTGATTTCAAGCCCCGTTCGATCATTCTCTCTGCCACCCCTTGACAGCCCAACCCCAGGCTCTGCTGCTGGTGCTTCTCTCAATGCTGGACACGCCGTGACGACCGGGCAGGTTTTATTTTTAATGTCACACCCACGCATAGAACAAAGAGCTGTCAGGCAACTCCAACAGGAGGCTGTTGCCAGGAGAGGGTCAGCAACCAACGACAGGCCAAGAGGACATAGTCTCAAGCTGCGCCAGTGGAGGTTTAGGCTGGGCATTAGGAGGAATTCCTACACAGGAAGGGTGATTGGACATTGAAATGGGCTGCCCAGGGAGGCAGTGGAGTCACCGTCCCTGGAGGCATGTAAGGAAAGACCGGACATGGCGCTCAGTGTCATGGTCCGGTTGACACGGTGGTGTTCGGTCATAGGTCGGACTCGACGATCTCAAGAGGCCTTTTCCAACCTAATTGATTCCGTGATTCTGGGGGCGGCGGGTCACGGAGCACCCGAGCTATACCTGGGGCGGGACACCTGAGGCCCGGCGGGAGGGGCTCCGGCCCCACTCCCGCGGGATCCTGCCCCTCTCCTGCCCCCTCCGGCCCCTCTCCAGCCCCATTCCCGCCGGGCTCCGGCCCCGCTCAGGGGCGGCGGGGCGGGAGCGGGGCGGGCGCGCGGTCACCTGACGCCGCGGCCGCCGCCATTTTGTCTGTGAGCGCAAATGTGAAAGGGAAAGCCGGGGCGCACCCGCGGGAGGAGCAGCGGCAGCGCCGAGCGGCGCCGGGAGCCGGGGGAGCACCGGGAGCACCGCCGCCGGGAGCCGGAGGATCGCCACCGCTGGGAGCCGAGGGAGCACCGCCGCCGCAGCGCGGAGCAGCGGGAAGAGCCCCCGTGGCGGCGGCGGCGGCGGCCGAGAGGAGCCGCTGAGGCGGAGCCCGGCGAGCGCTCCCGCCGGAGGGAGCCGCCGGCGCCCTTCCCCCGGGAGGCTGCGCTCGCCCCCGGCCTTGCGGGGGAGCCGCCGCCCCGGCCTTGCGGGGGGACCGCGGGGGAGCCGCCGGCAGGGCCGCGGCGATGATGTCGGGGCAGTCGATCACCGACCGCATCACGGCGGCGCAGCACAGCGTGACCGGCTCGGCCGTGGCCAAGGCTGTGTGCAAGGCGACGACCCACGAGGTGATGGGCCCCAAGAAGAAGCACCTGGACTGTGAGTAGGACCTCGCGGCGGGGCCGGGCTTGGAGCTCCGGGGCGGCTTTGCTGCTCTGGGGCTGCGGGCGGGCGGGAGGCAAGAGCCGGCCGCTCGCACTTGGGGGGGGGATGTCGTGTAAATCTGGGTGGACCTGAGTGCCGTGAGCTCCAGAACTTGTTTTCCACGTGGAGGGAGTGAGGTTTGTAACGCCCTGTGGCGCCCGGGAAGCAAAAATATTCCAACCTCACGAGCTCTTCCCGGTGAGAGCTTCTTAGCTCGTGTGCTCTGGCTGTAGTGGTGCTTGTTAATCCGGCACCTGGGGAAAAGGTGGGTTTACTGCTGTGACCCAGAATGCAATTTTTTAAGCACTGTTCCGTCCTTCTGTGCATCCGCTAGACTGCAGCCGGTTAAATATTTCTGTCATTTCCCGAAATATCACAGCGTTTTGTCTTGCTGCTCGTGAAACGATGTAAAAAGATTAGGAGTGAAGGGAAGGGCGTAGGTGGACCAGTGGATTTCTCCTCGATAAGAGTATGTTGCCGCTGATATATTTAATATATTAAAACTCCCCTCTGTGTACCAAAAGGTGTAGAAAGTTACCCTTGAAGTCTACAACAGTATCAGTGGTGTCGCTTCGCTTCAGGTTTTAATAACGGGATATCAATCGCAGTTGCTGTTTGCTCAGAAGGGCAGTGAATGCTTCAAACCTTGCTCGTTGCACAGCACACCTGTTCCCCAGCTAGTAAAAGTGAAATAAGTGTGTGTTTCCATTAGGGAGAGGGATAAAGGCGTAAAGCCTTTTGCCCGTTTCTGGTTTTGCAGCCCTCGTGCAAATTGAAGGTACTAAAGGGAGTCTGCTGTTGAGGCTCTCTGAAGAAACACTGTAGGTTTTATGTGGTTTGAGGGTAGTTTGGCTGTGTGGTGCTGTGACACTCGTCCGTTCATACAGACTTGTGCGAGACCATTCGATGTGGATCAAACAGTTAAAAATAACCAAATATATGTTTCATTTGTTACTGATCTGAATGGGTGGGATCCAGCTACAATAGTGAATATTGCAGCTACTGTGTTGAAGTTAAAAGCTTTAAAAGTGGGTAACTGACAATTTTAAAGACACCTTTTTGCATTACCTTATTTTATCTTGTCTCGTGTTGTGCCTGTGGTAGAACAAGTTAATGAGGTAACCCTTGAGTCCAGAAATGGCAACATAACAGGAAGCCAGAAAGTGGTGACAGTTTGCTCAATAGTTTGAAAGCTTTTGAATCTTAAAAGAGGTAGTGTGTTGTTTGAAAATATCCTTAAAATAATGTCATCTACCAGAAGTCACCCGCAAAAAATAAGAAAATGGAAACATGGAAAAATTCCTGAGAATAACATAAACTGAGATTGCTTTTTGACTGACAAGTTCCTCTGAATGTGTTTTGATCTAAGCCTGTTTAGAGCTGTCACTCAGTCTCTCCTGAAGGTCCCCTTCTGTGATGAGTTCTATGTTCTGGTGTAATTTACTTGCTCAGACTTTGGTCTAAGACAAACAAAAATCTTCTTCTTGTGACTAGTGTCTGAAATACAGGAATGCTTTGGTGGGGTAGGGAAAAAAGATGTGAAATATGGTACCTCAAATATGTCTGTAAAGGGGTTTAAAAAAATCCCAATGAACATGCTCCAGTCTTCACTGAGCATATCCAGGCACTGCTTTTCAAACATCTGCAACCCTTTGAGTAGCACTTCTTAATTTTTCACTTGTACACAAAACTTCCTTTTATTAAATGTGAGCAGGTAAATACTAAATACTGTCATCTCTGGAAAAATCACAGAGTATATGTTTTCCAAGATACAGTGCAAGTACTTCCCAATTTAAGTAAATTATGGACAAAAATATAGCTTGAATTTATTGTGAAATACTGGTAGTTGTACCCTGGTCACTACATGTGTGTGTCATTCAAAATGATACACCATCTGGTACTATTTGTAATTGCTACTCAGGAAAAAGCTTTAACAAGAACATTTTTTTGAGAGTTGCTATAGTTGTATCAGGGATTGTGGAGGGGTATCAGTTTGTGCACTCTGTTCAGATTAATTCTGAAAATCCCCTTATTGCCAAGTTTCCTCAGCAAGAAAAACTGTGATATGACAACATAGGTTTTTACAGGAAAATGTTATATATGCAGTGTGTGAACTAGTATTTAAGAGTCTTGGGGTTTGTCTGACTACTAATTGCTGAGTAGTATAGTCACATTTTTCTTGAAGAGTGAAAAAACACCCACAAAAAACCCATCCCCAAAACCTAAGCAGTGTCAATGGGAATACTTGGGGATTTACCTTTTAAAGTAGGTCACGGTGTCCTAAATAAGTCAGCAGATCTATTTCTGTAGTATTTTGTAATATTTTCGGATAATACAAAATGTCATATAGAGGCTGATCTTTCCACTTAGTGGAGCACCTGAAGGTCTTGTCTCATCTTTCCCAGTGTGGATTCTCTCACTGCCCTCAGCCTCCTGAGTCTGGTTTGCAGTGGAATGGGGCTGTTATGCTTTTGGAGTCAAACCTCTTCTTGTCTAACTACTGAAGAGTCATAATAAAAAAAGGATAAATTAAAACTGTAGCCAAGTTGGTAACTGGCAGAGTAGACTTGTGTGTAGACTGAAATTTAGAAAAATATAACCTCCTAAATCAATTGCATCTTAGACTTTTAAATGAACACAGTAATAATGGAAAAAGCAACTCCTGCTTGACTTGTATAGAGCCCACTTAAGAACAGCAGGGAAGAGGAAAGTAGTTAATGTTACTCATTAAAACTTAAAACTCCTATACATACACAAGCTTTGGAAATCTTGTTAGAAGTGGTAATTCAGGTATACAATTGTATTATTTAACAGAATTAGTCTCTTAAGCCTGTTGTTTTAGGAGAAAGAGGAAGTCTCCACCAAACCATCACAAACTATATGTTTTGCCAATAATATCACGTTATGACTGTCACAGTTTGGGGTTGATTTTGTACCTGCCTCTTTTCCCTTTTGGCCGCCAGAGCTCTTGACAGTCGGGTAAATGCCGAGGCAGTGTGGTTCTTGCAGAGATGTGTAAGTTGTGATACAGAACAAAGACATTTTCTTGAACTCTTTACACAGATGGGTAGCTGTGTTTAATTTGAAGTTCTTTAGTAATCATTGAAGCTTTTCAGTATAATAATTGAGGAAATTTAACTTGAACAAAAAAAAGAGTTAATATTGTTGGGATCTATCAATAGGGTTTATGTTTAGCTTTTTAAAGAAACTTTATGGGCTGTCTGTCCTGTATCCTTGTTTAGTGGGGAAGTGGGACAGAATAGCTGAATTGCTTTCTTCTGGTAAAGTAACTGGAAGTTCAGATTTAGCTGTTGTTACATAACTGAAACTTAAAGATTGATCTCAATTGTTTATTAAAAGAGCACATGGGCATAAAAATATTTTTATCAGTCAGGTGCGATGTTTAAGTCTTCCAGCAAGAATTGTTGCCCTCCTTGGCTACAGTGAGAAAGTTTGCTGAAGTGGCTCTGATGTTTTATCTTTTGGTAATGTGTCATCTATGGTGCAACTTTCAAAAAGGAAATGTATTTTTTTTCAAGACTGTGTGACGGAAGAAAGTGGTCTTCATTTTTACATCTGTCTTACAGCAGTTTCTGTCCTGGGACAAAATGGAAGAAATAAGTGAATATTAAACTATTATGGTTGCCTTTAAGCTATGTATTTACAGTTCTCTTGAGGGAGATTCCAAACTCAAGAAAGTTATGACTTTCTTGAAAGTTGAATAGTATGTCAGTTTTTGTTAATGCCTGACTGAGAATTTTCCAAAAACCTGTTATATGTATATTTTGGGTTGGGTTTCTTTTTTATATCTGGATTTTTGCATGCTGCTCTCCGAAGAGCTGTAGAGTTTCACAGATGATGTGCCAGTATTTCAGATGAGCCGTGGAAGAGAAATCCTCAGTACTCTTCCAGGCAGTAAGATTTCCACAGCTCTTCCAGGCTGCTTGAAAACCCCTATGGTGCTCTTCTGGTTTAAAGCTGTTTGATTTTTTTTTTCTTCTTTTTTCCTTTTTTTTTTTTTCCCTATGTGATGTTAACATGTTTCTAAATTCCATTCTAGAAATAGCACCACAGCTTCACTTGCAGTTGAAATGATTCCTCTGGGTAATTGGCAAAATGCTTTGAGTTGTGAAGTGTTTATATAAGTAGTGCGATAAGAAAATGAGCCTCACTCACCCTGTGCATTTCATTCCAGTTTCTGCTGCCAACATCCATATTACAGTTGCCCAGCTGTCAGTCTCTCAGGTGCATGTGTTCTCTTATACTCCCAGATGTATGGATTTAATAGCCTTTTCCTCCTGTGCCACCAGCTGTAACAGATCCATACAGTTGTTTCTGTGTAGATATTCCTGTTGCAGGCTTAGAAGAATCGTATTAGAGAAATGGCACTTGCTTTTCTTTTTATGGATCTCAATTGGTAGAATTGAAATGTGATGCCAGCTTTTTTTTATTACTAGTTGTAAAATATTAATTAAAAAAATTACCCTGAGTAGGCTTATTAAAGAGTCTTTTTAAACTTGTGCTTTTGCAACACACTCTTAAGTCCAGTTTTGACCTATAAGAGATTTTTTTTCTTAGTTTAGTATTTCAGAGATGTTCTCTTTGTCTAAGCATGTGTTCTTCAATGTTGGCAACTGTGGCTTATGTGTTTGTGTGTTGAAGGAGATTTTGGAATGAAAGATCAGGGTTTGTGTTAAGTGACATAGCTTCTTATGGAAGTAAACTTGTGCTGGCAAGATAAGCCAAAGCTTTTTTTATGGATGTGGGGCTTAAGGAGAGGTCATCAGCTACAGCATTAGGTACAGGTGTGAACAGTAGGATTCCTGTCACATTGTGCCTGAACAGCACTGTAAGAACACTCAGTAGCAGTCCTAGATATACAGATGTGCAAGGGATCCCCCAGGTGTTCAGCATCATTTTAGGATCTGCTGGAACATCTGCTGGGAAACCTTAGGGAAGGTGAAGAGATTGAAATCTATGTGGAGAGTGCTGGCAAAATAGGAATGAAAATAGCTTGGCTAACCTGACTGGAGAGTAGAAAGGGTTTGGGTTTTAACCTGGATCTTCCCTCCCAGTTTCAGCTATTATTTAATAAGCACACTTAATATTGAAAAATCCTCAGTGAAAAATCTGACTTAGTGGTTGTGTGAAGGAAAAGGACTTTGTGCAGAAATAATATTTTCCATAGGTTATCCATGTGGTCTTTGACCTGAGCAGATCAATGGAATTTCTTTAACTGTTACCTAGTGGTGTTATAGGTATTGCTCTTTATAGAGTTTGGGGGATTCTTGTTGGTTGTTTTTTTTTGTTTGCTTGGTTTTTCTAAACTGAGAGTAGGACTCATAACAGTCCTGTAACATTTCTGTGCTGGTTACAGACACTTCAGGTATTGATGCTTGCTTGGTATTTCCATGTCTGTGTGTTATGCTTGCTTATAAACTGATTGGGTTTAGGAAGACAAACTTGCCTTAATGTGTTTTGAGACAACTGCTTAGAAATGTCATAACAAAGTTCTCATTCAGTGATGATGCTGTGGAATTAATATTTAAGATTTTTCTGAGTATAAATTATGGAATTGGAACTTTCTTCATTCTGTAGGGCAGTAATTGCCTATGGATTGTTTGGACTTCTAGGTTAAAGTACTTTTTAATTTGACAGAGCATCTGATGATGATACAACCATGAGCAGTGTCTACCAAATGGCTTGTTTTTTGAGAAACTTCACCTTTGTAAATATTGAACTATTTTAACACTACTCAGCAATAAGATTTTGATGTATAGCTTGCTTAAAACTTCAGGGCTTTTGTTTTTGTGCAGTTATTTCAGCATTTTTGCGTGTTACTAATAAGGGTGACAGTTTTCATCCCAGCTGCATGTTTTGTATATAGTTGGAAGCCTTTGACATCAGAGTGAAATTAGTAACTTGCTGTAATTTCCATTTTATAGCTTTCTACCTGAACAAGATAATATCTAAAATTCTTTACCCTGTTAAAATTACTCTGGTTATTAAATTATTTAAACAGTGATCCTTAATCAAAGGACTTTTTGTTCCTAATAAACTGATCTTTAATTAAGATACATCTATAATATATTCTGTGCATTAGAACATATATAAATTCTAAGTGTAATATTTCTATGAGGTATTTTGTCCTAAACTATCGATGTATGAGCTCTAAGTTCACGTTTAAATTGCTTATGATAATGTAGTCTGTTCTCTACATGCTGCTTATACAACAGAGCAGTTTCAGTGGCCATTTCAGTGGTGCCAACACCTCGGAATTCAGTTGTTTCCCAGCTTCCCAAGCACCTGCCCTTCCTCAGGTCCTCATCCAGACAAGCCACACAAACAGCAATGGGCTCTGCTACCAACAGTCTGCTCACAGGCTTGGCTTAAAGGAGAGGCCACAAAGGAAGCTTTTCAAACCAGATGTTTGTTTTACTGGCCTTGCCCAGTCCTTAGGGTGTACTTTGATCACACCTGAGCCAGATTTAGTACAGAGAGAGAACAAATGTCTGATGTGCATGTCTTGAGGGGTTTAGAGCAGTCCTGGATTCAGTTCTTTGCTCCCTTCTCAGCGAGTACCTTCTCCAGCCTTCTCAGGCAGGTGCTTTCCCATGTGTCTGCTGGAGCATGGTCCGGCTTTGTACCAATATTCTGGCAGAGGCTTGAAGCTCTGTCTCTGACCTCCTAAGTTAATGTTCTACTGTCGAGTTTATTATCAGTCTTGGACACAAAGAGCTTTTTGATACGAAAGCCTGACACCTGCCATGATTCACCACAAAATAGTCAATAGGCTGGTGATTAGGTTTTTTTTAGCTAAATGGAAAGATGTGTAGATGGAAGTTCTTGCTCTTAATTCTTAGAGAAAGGAGTCTTATTTTACAGGTTTGTAGCATCTCATTTGCTGTCATGTGTGTCAGTACTCAGGCTTAGGTTGGAGTGGCAAAGTACTTACTACCTGTTGATCCCATGAGGTATAGATGTCTCAGCTTTTCCTTGCTTCTTGGATTTTCATTTTTTTTTGTTACATTGAGTGGCCTCAGACATTGAGCACCCAGAAAGTCTACACTGGCTTTCAAACACTAATTTGGGCTCTGTTGGGTTTCTAATGGAACAAGTTATTTGTTGGTGAAGTACTGGGACTCCATAAAATTACTGAAATGCCTTTGAAGTTCATACTTGGAGTCCTTCAGTAAAATGGAGTGAATTTGAGGAAGGACTCTAAAAGACCACAATTATTTCTTAAACAAAGAACTGAAGTTCATGCTTCCAGTAAGAATTCTCAATGTAAAAACACAAAATAACGTGTTGATCCTCTTTGAGCATGTAACTCATTATTATGCTTTTTTCCCCTTTAATTTAGATCTAATACAGTGCACAAATGAAATGAATGTGAATATTCCACAGTTGGCAGACACACTCTTTGAGAGAACTGCAAACAGTAGCTGGGTTGTAGTGTTCAAAGCTCTAATTACAACACACCACCTCATGATGTATGGAAACGAGGTAAGACATGATTAGTTCTGTTAAGGTCTCCTTTATGGCTTTTAAAACATTGTCTCAATCTGTAAGGCATTAGATATGTATTTCAGTTTTCCAGGATCTTTGTTTTTTCCTCAGTTGGTGGCTGTAAAGTACTTGTCAAAACCAAAAATATATTCCTTCGTTATTTCAATACCAAAATACATCAGTGTTTGCAATTTACCTGCAGGTATCTGGGTTGGGCTGTGAGGAAATAATGAGTGACATTTGTAGAATAGAGACTTGAAAGACTTCTGATGAGCTTTACTTCATTAGGGTAGTGCTTATCAGGAAGAGCACAGCAGAAGAGTCCTGTTAGCCCTCCATAAATGTGCAGCCAACCTTAAAACAGATAAGGAAGAATATGTACTAGAGGGGAGAGGAATATGATGACTGGAATATTTGATCCTGCAAGTCATCATCTGATGGGCTAAACCTTCAGATGTTGTTGCTGTTTAGAGTCCTCTGAAACGTATTTCTACTGCATTTGATTCGCTTAAATTATTTCATCACAATTTATGAAATGCATCCCAGTCACTAATATGGCATTAGAAATGTAGCCTCTATTGTATTAAAAGCTAAACTTTGGTCAGATGACAGTCCTAAATCTGTGTGCAGTCATTAACCTAAGAAATGATTGTTGACTACCAGTAGTATTGAAGTGATGACTCCTCAAGTACCCACCAGCCATTAAACTGCTCTGAAAGCTTGGTCTTTTCCTCCTCTCTGCAGTGCTCTTTGAACTTCATTGAAATGACCTGTAAAACATAGTGTGCTCTTCCTTAACAGCTCCTCAGGTTATTTACCTTTTTAAGCTGTATTTTCAACAGATAATAGACAGAAATAAGGAATATTGCAATGTAAAATTCACTGCTTGGAATTTACTACTTATTACAAGTATAAAACTAAACTGAATGCTGTAAATCAGCTTGTTTATTCCCTCTTTTTCCAGTACAGTTCATATCTGCACAATGAAACTTGCAAGGAAGCAAACCAAACAAACCACAAACTGAACCATAGAAAAAATAAAAAATCAAAACTTAGAGTTGTGGGCCACCAGCCAGTATCTGTTTGCCCATACAGTGTTTTGTACTGGCAGAAAAGTTGAATTTTTATGTCTATACCAAATCTGCTCCTCAGCTTTGAACCAGGTGCATTTGGAATTTTAGAGAATTCCTTTATACCTACTGAGATAACGTGGCTGGAACATTAGTTCTGTAATTTCAGGTGGAACATGAGCGTACTCCTCACTCTCCTAATACATTTAAAGAGGCTTTTTCTGAAGCAAATAAAAAATTATCAGATGTTGGACTTCTATTTTAAGTAAAAGTAAACATAAGAGAGGGTCAAAATGTTGCCAGAGCAATCATTGTCTTGCAGTTTCTTGTTCAATATAGCTGCCTGTTTCTTGAGATGAAGTTTTGGGTGAAACTCCTCTTGCCTGTGCATTTTGCAGCATAAGACCCCTGACATCTGAGTAGTTGAGAGTTAACCTTGTCCCTTTTACAATGAGATTCAGAACAGTAGCTAGTTTTGAAATATATATGGATAGAAACCCTTTGAATATCACTGTTCTGTTCCTGATCATGTTGCTACTGTTTTGCTTGTGTATCTCTTTGAATGCAGTAATAAGATGTACAGATAAGTCAACTGGAAAACAGAATAAGAAAAAACAGAGCCCGAACTGTTGGTAGGCAAAGCCTACCTCTGGAGTTGCTGATGAGGTGGTACGTGACAAGTTGGGGAATCACTGGCAGGTTAAATTGATTTCAGTTTAAATAGTACCAGTGAGAAGGATTTTCTCGTTACTGTGCTAAGGCCTCTATTCCAGTTCCCAGGAGCAGGTGCTCCTGAGCCTCACTGAACACATGCTGGTTTACAGAGTACAACAGTCCCAGCCTGGCAGGAGGGTGTATTTCCACCGTGGAGAGTGAAGGAACAGGCCCTGTGTTCTGTGGCAGCAGAGCATTTCAGATCAAAGCAAGTCCCTTAAGCCATATTTATCATAATTCTCTTTTATGCACTAAAACACATACAAACAAGCAAGAAAGTCAAGAAATGAGAATCTTGGGAGATCTGTGTGTGACAGTGGCAGAGAAGCTTTTAAAACTACCTTGCTACCTGGATGTGTTTGTCTCTTACTCTTGTGTTATTGGCCAGCTATTATTTGTCAAAACTTAAATGTTGTTTAGTCAGATCACTGCATTATGTATAAAAAGTATATGGTTATCACCCCAGTGGTGCTGCTCACCACAGTTCAGAACCATTATTCTCATTCACTGCTTTTAAACTGTGTAATTAAGCCTGTCTTCCTCTTCTACAGCAGCAGTAGAGTCGTGCAAACTTTGGGAGCTTGGATAATGCAAGTGGTATTTTTGTTTTGTATTTTCCAGCTTGTCTGTTCCAAACTACAAAGTTAATGAAGCAGCTTCCTCTAGGATTATTAGTATTTTATTCACAGGCAGTGATGTCTTTATTAATTTAAATCTATACTTTTGCCAAATAGAGTTTTGGACTTCAGAGGCTTTTTTAGTGAGTGTTTTCAGGTTTTCCTCTAAATTTTTCCCTTTTAACCAAATTCTATTGTTGATAGAAGTTACAAGGTAAGTGTAGTTTTCTTGCTCAAGTGTTTTGACTCTCACAACAATTACATTCCCAACTTTTTTTCACCAACAGCGCTTTATCCAGTATCTTGCATCCCGAAATACTTTGTTCAACTTAAATAACTACCTGGACAAAAGTGCCATGCAGGGTAAGGATCTTTCACTGAAGGAAATCACTGCTTTTTTTCTCTGTGATAGTGCATGTGTAGGTGCTCTCCAGGAGACAAATGACATTTAAATTGAAGGGTATTATGATTTGTACTGCATGAGACACCGTGCATGAGTTACCTAGGTGAGTGCTAGAAATTTTCTGTAATGTATGTAGCATTGCACACACAGCTATGAACTTTAAAAGGTGAACTCTTAAGGCTCATTAGAATAAACCTGATGAATTATCAGCACAATAATAACTTTTGCCATTGCATTTTAATGCTTCGGGAGTAAATGTTTACTGTTAAGGTGCATGGAATGGTAACCAGGATGTGTTGTATAAATAGTGAGAACTCCAAATCTCTAAGTCCTTTAAGTACTTGCTAATGGCAAAAAAACCCATTTTTATAGTAAGTTATGTTACCAAGCTCTTCAGCATTTTACTAAGAATACATTTTTAGTTAATTTCAAGAACATCTCAACAAGAACTGCTGGGTTCTTTACTGATATTTTATGCTTGGTTCTTGTCTAATATTTTAATGTGTTTAGGTGTTTATTCTCATAATTGCAACAAATGCTTTCCTAATCTTAGCAAGTTGGGAAGAAACTGTAACATCAGGTCTCAAGGTGAAAAACAGTCGATCTTGAGACTCTAGAAAAGTGCCTATGGAGGGCTTTTGAAGCAAGTTGATGTAAAATGGGCTGGTAGGAGGATAGTTCTTGAAAAGAACTTAAAATGAACTGTACCTCTTTAAAATGTCTAACTTACAAATGCTTAACTTTTAGGCTATGATATGTCTACCTTCATTAGGCGATACAGCAGATACTTGAATGAAAAAGCACTTTCATATAGACTTGTAGCAGTTGACTTCACCAAAATGAAAAGAGGGTAAGACTGTTACTTCTTTTGTTAGATCTTTCCTATTGCAGGGGCTGGAAGCCAGTTGTTCTTGAGCTTGTCATAGAAAGGTGTTCTTTTTACTCTTTGAAGCAATATTGTATTGCTGAAAGAGCATAATGTGCTGAGGTCTCTTTGTAACTTGTAAATCTGTGTCTTTTCCTCTGTAGGATAGATGGAGTGATGAGAACTATGAATCCTGAAAAGCTTCTGAAAACTCTTCCAATCATACAGAACCAGCTTGATGCACTCCTTGATTTTGATGCAAGTACTTTAAACTCAGTGTTAAGTAAAACTCTCTCATTTTGAAGTGAGAGTTTCGTTATTTTGTTAAATACTAATTTACTTTCTCATTGCTTTCTACACAGGCAAATCCAAATGAACTAACAAATGGTGTTATAAATGCTGCCTTTATGCTCCTCTTTAAAGATTCCATTAGACTTTTTGCAGCATACAATGAAGGGATTATTAATCTTTTAGGTATGTGAGAATTTTTTTAGCTTTTGAACTTGTGAAGGTATTGAGAAAATTAAGGAATATAGACAATTTCTGACTGCAGTTACCTGATAAATTCTCTGCTCTATTACTGTTAAATTAAGCCTGTCTTAGTTTTAGTGGCAGGTAGCATAGGCTTAAGCATACACTTCTACCTCGAGGAACAGATGTTGAAACAGAAACAGAGATGAGACAGTGACTGGCGAGAGTGAAACAAGGATACCATAAATATGCAGTGGATAACCTTTGCAGTCAGACTGTAAAAGTATAATGAGATATCTGGTATTTTGAGTATTTAAAATAGTCACAATATGACTGACTTCTGTTTTCCTGTACCTTCTTTATAGCTTGACTGTTCACCTTTTAACTGGTACCTGAATCTACGTGAGCCAATTAGGTGACAAGTAGGGTTTCTTGTAAAAGAGTGATAAGCTTTGAACAAAGCCTTTTAATTACTATTTAATCAAATTTCTGATCAGTTTCTGATCTGTTAATCCATTAGTTTTGACCGAGTGAAATATTCTTAAGTAAAGAGGGCAAAACCATAGAAAGTGAAGGATGTGTTTGATACTCCTTTTGGCAGGTCAGTTCAGGATATGTACTCACTTCAGTAGCCATTCTAATGCCTTTTGGATTTTAAGCCCATCTAGAGACATCAAAATGTATTGATACAGCATCTAAAAATATAAATATGTACCAGGAATATTTTCAAATGCTAAAATAATTTACCTCATTTCCAGCTAATAAGCTTTTTGAAAATATTCACCATAATACCTAATTTAACAATTTGCAGTGATTCAAATCCATGCTCAATAAAGCTTTGCATTATAGTCTAATACTCTGAAACAGAAAAATCAGTGGTTTTGTGTTGACTGACTTATCACAAAAGGTGTCAGGTATTAAGGTAAACTTTAAAATCCAGATAGCTTTGAGTTACTCCTGTCTATTTTCTCCCTGAAGTTTGTCTTGAATTAACTTTTATAATACTGTGTCAGCCTTTTTTTGGGGAGGGTATTATCTTACAAGAGTTTTATTTGCATCCTCAGAAAGATATTTTGATATGAAGAAGAACCAGTGCAAAGAAGGCTTGGATATTTACAAAAAATTTCTAGCCAGAATGACCAAATTGTCAGAATTCCTCAAAGTAGCAGAGGTAAATAAATCTACATCTATGGAAAGGATCTAATTTAGCTGTCTGTACTGGTACAGTATCAATATTCATAAAAACAACTTCACAAAGATTGCTGTACAGTGAAGTATTAGGTATTTTAAAGATTGTGTACACTCATTAACATGGGATGAGATTCTTGGGTATCCTTTTTTTTATTGGACAGAGTAGAACATAGTAAATTTTCTGAAGTGTTGATACAAATTTTATGAATGATCCAAAATGTATAAATTGTAACTTAACTTAATGTTACAGTCTATTTACAGTGCCCTCCTTTAATGTAACTGCTAAAAAATCTAGTTGCAGTAAGCAATGTGGGTGTTTCTAATGATCCCAGTAGACTTTTCTGCATGAAAGTCAGGCAGGATGAAAAGTTGGGTTTGCCTTGAGATGTACACACTTGTGATTACTGATATGTGTTCCTAGTGGAACTTGTACCAGTTCAGAAAGTTGTGAATATCCCTTTTTAAATGTTAGTTTCTATGTAACATTCAGATATTGCTGGGTTTTATTTTCATTGCCACTGCATGTATTAATGTACTGGTTTTTTCTTCATTTTTTGTAAACCCAGCAAGTTGGAATTGATCAGGGTGACATTCCAGATCTTACTCAGGTCAGTATACACAGTATATTGATTAACCCAACTGTTTTGTTCTCTGTGTTTTTAAAAGGGTGTGTGTCATAGTAATGATTCTTCTTGAGACTATATTCCCTTCTATGTATTTATATGTGGGAAATGTGTTTGGTAACTTTTACCATGCATTAAATGTACTCAAACTTTGAAGCTCTTAATAAGCTTTTTTTTTTTTTGATTGTTTAAAGCAATAAAACTCACAGAAAATATTTTTCAAGAACTTCTATTTTTTTTTTCACAGAGGATCCCTGGCAAGGTAAGCCACAAACATCTTGCCATGCCTAGAGGAAAACCTTCCATTTCACTGTAACTTAATGTCTTCCAACACACTCAAAGATTACAGTTAGTTCAGTCAAGAATTTTTTCTATCTCCTGAGGTCTGAATAAATTTGATGTTTCTATATCAGCACTCAGTTCCAGCTTCACTATTACTCAGTGTATGAGGGACATGCACGGTGCAGGTTGTGTGCTGGGAAACTTACCCTGAAAGGTGGAGTGCAGGGAAACACCTTCCAGGGAGGATAAACTGAGGGGCAGAAGGGAGGTGAAAAAGATGGTGTGACCTGGTGAAAGGAAACAGTGACAGTCCACAGCAATGAACGAAGGGGTTCTTTGTGAGCTCCCTCAGCTCGCAGGGACAGTGTATTTCTCACGTAGGGCCAGCCCAACACGGAGGTGTTTGTTGTTATTTCTGCAGTGCAGGGTAACCTGACGGGTGGAATGAAGAGCCACCTGTCAGGACACTGAGGCAATAAACTGGAGTGTCTTAGAGCTCTAGAGTACTCGAGCTGTTTAAGTGGAGTCACTGAGAAACAGTAAAAATTTAATGTGTAAGCTTTGAACAGTCACGGCTAATCCTGCACCACCTTCATGAAATTAAATTTTGTGGGTTAATCATGTAAAAATGTATGTAGTGTGAAGATTTGCCTAAACATCAGTGTCTTTTTAATGTGGAAATCAAATCTAAACCACAAGCTTCCATTGTTAGTGGTATTCATTACTGCCTACATATGATTTCCATCTGAAACCATACATGCTTCAAAGTACAAATCTCTAATGTTTGCTCCTAGCAATTTATATTAATCCCATCAAGAACTTCTAGGCCTTTTTGGTAGGAAAGAAATATGACTGTAACCATCAGGGTAAGAGCAGGTAATGAGTAAAAACAGTAGTTTGATGTTTTCTGATGGTGTTTGATCTTAGCATCTTACTTTGTCTGTTGATTAGCAGTGCAGTATTCAGCTGGTCTGTATTATGCTAATCACATTATACTCAAGTCTGAAGTTATTTATACCTCACTGGGTTTGTGTGCACTTGTCCACTTAATTGGGTCATTATAAGGCTCTTGAAAGCAGGTAGGGTTTCTTTATTTACTGAGAATAGGGGGATTTAACTTAACATTTTATTTCTAATACCTCAGCTGTTTTGGTGTAAGTGCACTATGTAAGTGACAAAGGCAACTTTGAACTGGTGGTAGACATCAGCATCCTGTGTATTTTGGCAATTTCAGTTCCACTGTTAAGCCTTCCACTTACATAGAAATTTCATGGCATTTAACATGAGTTGACTAATTGTACATCCATTTAGTGCCACATTAAAAGGATTTGCTAGAATCTCTTAATAGTGCCATTTTGCCTGCTCCTGTAAAGAAAATGTTTTTCTTTGTAGATGCCCTGTTTCACAGTGATGTTGCTTGTGTTCTGTTTATAGCTGTTACTGTATTTCATGAGTGTAACTGGATCATTTCCCTCTGTATGAATGTTAGTCTGTCAGATGTCTTTCTGTGGGGGGGAGGCTGAATCATAAAATACAGCATTTCTCATGTCATAATGCCTGTATTAGCCCGGGTGCCTTTTCTGACATAAAACTACTCTTCACTCAAAATTTGATGTTTTGTTGGATGTGTGCAGCAATAAGAAAGTTCAGAGGAGATTTGTTGGGTTTAGTTCTTGTGGTTTAGGGGGTCGTTTAGAGGGTTTTAGAAATAGTAAGTATAGAATATGCTTTTCCATACAAATAAGTTTTAGAGTGGCCTTGGGAGGAAAAAAGGATTTCTGGAATTAGGGCATAGGCTTCTGTTATTATCAATATAGTTGTGCCATGCAATGCCTTTTGCAAACTATTGTGCCTCCTAAAAGGTAAAAGTGTGGAGGGGTGATTTTGTTTGTTTGTTTGTTTGTTTGTTTGTTTTGGTCCCTGATACCTTTCCAGAATGGTATTTCAAAATGTCCCCCTTGGGGTTTAGCTGTCTAGGTCAAACACCAAATTTATTCATGACCTGTTGTTGAAGAAGCTACACTGTCTTATGTCTTAGCTTACCTAGCTCTACTTAAATACAAGCTCAGACCTTAATTTTAAGACAAGAAGTTTTATAGGATTATTCTAAGTACTTTTTTCCCCCCTCCATCTCTTGATTCATCTAGCTTGAATTGGCCTTCACTGAATGTGGGACTCTAGAATTGTGCTCAGTATTTCAAAGGGGAGCTTGCCAAAGCCTTGTGTAAATAATATTTTTCCTCTTTCCAGGAAATTACTTGATCTAACTTTTGGTACAGAAGGGCTACACAAGGGCAAGCTTGTTTTTCCTCCAAACAATGCCTGTCATATCTGTTTTAGCTATTGAAAGTTGGCAAGTGGTAAGAGAGGCTTTAATGTCTCTGAAACCCTGCCAGGTGAGGAGGACTGAGCTGGCAAGTAGATTAAAACTTGAGAGGTCCATTCCTTTCATCTGAATCTGCAGTAGGATTTATTTCACTTGGAGTAATTGAGTTGGCTTATTGTATAGTTACATGTTGAACAGCTACTCAGTCTGCAGTAGTATTGTTGGGATCAGGTTGAATTTGATTCCCTATTTTATCAAACCCAACATCCTGCTGTAGTCAAGTGTTTCTGCTATAAGCCCTTGACTGTAAATACTCGAGTGAAGAATGGCTGGCTTTTTGTCGTTACATGAGAAAGGAGATCAAAAATACCAAGTCTTTGTTTTGGGACTTCTGTGAGTTCAGGGGAGTACTGCTTAATCAGCTGTGATTATTCAGTTAATCTTAACATAGCAAATACTGTTGCCAAAACCAAAGATGCAACTTGCATGTGCAGGAGCAAACCTGTTCTGGGGGAATCCTTCCTTCGTGTCTCTGTGTCCCACTCCTTTTAAAGAACCACTACTGAGTGGATAGGATCTGGGTGTGCAGGGTGGCAGCAAAACCCAAAGGCACAATTATTCATGTGTGAGTTTTTGTTTGTTTTTCGTGGGTGAGAAAACTCATCTATGTGCTAAACAATGAGGTGTTGATTAGAAGCAATGTTTTATAAATACTTTTAATTTTAGGCACCCAGTAGCTTGCTTGAGGCACTGGAACAGCATTTGGCTTCTGTGGAGGGAAAGAAAACAAAAGAAGTCTCTGCTGCCAGCAGGTGAGCACCCAATGAATTACAACAGTGCCAATACTTAATATTTGTCAGTGTTATTCTAAGAATTTTCAGGATTCAGTCACTTAGTATTCTTGAATTTTATTTGCTTCTGAATATCTCTTCCTAGAAATATAAATGAAGCATCTAGTGGGTATTAGTCTGATAGCTTAGCCATGTTTGAAATCTAGGCATGACTGCATGTCACTACAGCCTGATTATGCTGTAACAAACCACTGAGCTGAGACCTTGTATATTATTCCTTTTAGCTTTTACTTGTTTGAAGTCCTTTGATTTGTAAGATTTCTAAGGTATTTGAATTTTGATACCCTTCTTACCCAATCAGATGGTATTTATCTTTATTGTCAATTGGCTACCTTTCAGACCATGAATTTATGTTAACCTGCTCATAAAAGCTCTTCAGTCCCTTCTCAGAACAGCCAAATTAGCTTAGATGTTTTGTGCTGACAGAAACTGTTATTCTTTCTGTCAAGAACGGTATCAGTATTGTGTGAACAGTACTTCTGACTGAAGAGTGAGAGATCTCTTTTGGCACAGACATTCCCACACAGAAACTTGGTAAATATTGATAAATGTATCAGTGTGAGTTACATTCCTGAGTTGCATTCTCCTCAGATTTTTTTTTTTTGCTCAAAAATTTGAGGATTTGCTGCCACAGGATTCTGCTCAAGTGTGTACTAAATAGGGAATAACTCTTGTGCTTTGATTGCTGTTATATAATGTACAAACAAGCTTCCTGTGCCTCTGCCATTTGAATAACATTCCAGTCTAGTCTAGATGACTTTAAAGAAAAAAGACAACTGGTATGTTCCACATTTTCCAGTTCCTACCCACTGAAACCTGATGATTGATTTTGTGTACTCGTGCTGCTTTGTCACCAAACCCTGTTGTTGGGCTTTTTTGTACCAGAGAGTAAAGGAAGAAGTGACTTGGGGGGAGAATGGCACAAGACTAGATAAGGCATTTGATCATTAAACTGTAAGTGATGTATACCTGATTTAGTTTTTTTAATAACTAAATTTTTTTTAATTATTACCTTTTTTAGAGCTAGTGCCCTATCCAGTGCTGTTTCCTCACTTGCCAATACAGGAATGTCATTCAGCAGGATGGATGAGAAAGAAAAGCAGCAGGCATTGGAGGAGGAACAAGTTAGACTGCAGGCACTGAAGGTATGATGTTTTTAACAAGTTCTGTTTTCCAAGATTTTTTTGTTTTTGAATACAGGTTAGCAGAAGAGAGGTGGGGAAGCTTGCAAGGTCACTCAGAGAGGAACATCAGCTGTGTATAACATACAGCTGTGCTTTGACCTGTGCTATATCAATGCAGTGGACATATCTAGAGTAATGAGGGATGTAAACCTGAAATTAATGTAAACAAGATTATTCTGTTGCCAGCTTAAGAGCAGCACCACCTGGATATTAGTGGGATGTACATTTTCACTGATTTCTGAACATCTGAATTGAACTATGAAGATCCATAAGTAGGGAGATGCATCTTCCTGAGCAAAGGTCCACTGACCTGTTTCTCTGAGTGGCTCTGGAGGGTATCTAGACTGCAGCTTGACTAGAAGTGGTTTACTTCTAGGTAGTTGTGGATAGCTTAAAAAATAATTATTTAAAACATCGTCTCACCTTGATTTTAAGTTACAAATACTCTTTTATCTCTGATTTCAATTACTCTTCTATTTTCAGAAGAATAACTTTACAGAAGAATAGCTTTTATTTATTAAGGCCATAATTAAAACTTCTTCTTGGAAAAGATGTTTAGGACTGAATGGTTAATAAATTAATAAGATTAAAATTCCAACTGTCTATCTCATCTTTCAGGAGCAGCGATTAAGAGAGATTTCTGTAGTATCAAATTCCACTTCCACATCAGCATCCCCAAGCACTTTATCAGGAAAAAGTGTGAATACCACTGTAGCTGTTGACCTCTTTGCTACACCAGCACCCACAACAAATAGGTGAGAGATTCTTTCCTTTCTGAAGGAAGCAGAAATTACTGCAGTGCCCTGTAGCTCCACAATGGCTGTAAAGCACCAATCCTAGTTACTTCTCGAGTACCTTTTGCTGATGCTTTCTTTTGGTATGTTAAATGCTAAATTATGAGGTTTTGTACCACTGTTATTGATGGGCTATTAGTGAATAAGAGAAAATGAGATTGGTATGAGTGTTCATATAACACAAGAATACAATGCCTGTTATGTATCTTCATATTTCTCTCTCTCTCTCATTTCTTGTTCAGCATGCCCAACCTTTCTAGTGATCTTTTTGATCTTCAGCCTGCATTTGTTCCAACTGTGCAGAGTACTCCAGCTATATCAACATCAGCAAGCAGTGCTTGGGGAGGTGAGCTCATACCTTGATTTGACTGTCTTAGTGATGAGTGACTTCTTAGAATACAGGAAGAAAATACAGATTCAATACTTAATTGAATCCACATCTTAAGTGTTAATTACTTTGCATCCAAACATTTCTGTTCTTGACAAAATATAAAATAAATAATCTGAAAGCTCTGGCAAACTTTCTTTAACGTGTAGCATTAATGTTGATGTCCAGTAGATGAAATGAAGGACCCTTCAATAAAGGGTAGAGAAGTGTAACTAAAAGTCAAAGTTTAAAAATGCTGGGAGAAATAAACTAAGCAAATGTAACTGAAAAGATGCTGGACTAGTATTTCCATTTCATTAAGCAAAATTTAATATACTTTTCATTTAAAAGATATTGCTAACTTCAAAGTTCTCATAATAAAGCTGTGTATCCTAGTTTCTTGGGCACAGCATTCTCTGTACCCTCACCCATCCTTCCAAAGAATGATCAGATGTCAAAGAAATGGCTCAAATGCCTAAAAAAGGCAATGTTAACACCATGGTAAATGTTGGTATTTTAATAGGTGGACTTGATACCCTTATGTGCTATTTAAAAGATAGATTATTGAAGCCAAAAATGTAGTATCTAACTTCTTTGATTGATACATGTTCTGTCATTCTCCCCTTCCCATCCAATGATAATACTAGAATTATTTTCCCTAAATAGAGAGAGCTATTAGGATTTTTATCTGAAACTAAGAATTTGTATCTAAATGAGCTGATCATAAGGTGGAATATTTACAATTTGGCTTTGTTTAGAAATTCTCATATTCAGTCATTTCAGTCTGTTTTTCTTTTCCATTATTTGTACTCTATATTCTTTCCTTCACTTCTGCATCTGAAAGGTCCTTTCTCGTCTTCAAATGGTTGTGTTGGTTCTCCACCTCATCTGGACATCTTTGACATGAAGCCAGTTGAAGAAGCTGTAAAATCTGCCACCCCTTTCATCAATTCTTCTTTTTCCTCCAAACAAACGGTGGAACTGTTTAGTGGTAAAAAACCAAACAAACCCCATGTAATTTATTTGCAAGTGGAGATAATAATAATGCTGATAAAAGTGGGCCATGTAATTTTTTTGTGGTTTGGGCCAATTTTCACTTTTGATTAAGAAGTGAAAATGGTGCCTTAATTCCGGGTGTAGTAAATTATATGTTTCCTTAAACTTTTATTTCTGTGGTTGAAATAAATTATTATTTTGTTCAGTTTGCCCAACATAGATATCCTAAGACTTCCAGTGTTGCTGGAATTTTTGCGGATTTCTTTCAAACTGCAACCGCCTTTCTTTTTTGTAATGGGGAATGCAGGAGTTACTTGGCTCTTCAAATCTGTAAAATAAAAAAATCTTTTCATAATATTTAAGATTTTTAATTTTTAAGTGCAGAATTAGTTCTTGCGTCTCCTCTTCCTTTTTCTCTTTAAAACTGATCTTATTTTCTTCTCTCTTTTTACAAAGATGACTTTAGTGGTCATAAACCTACATATGCTTCTGTGTATCATCCTCTGACTGTTGATGGTAATTTCATTTTTTTGGTTTTTTTTGAAAAGGCTTTCTGGTTTCTCTGTATTTAGTGGTATTACTTCAGGGGTACATTTCATTACTCAACTCTTTTTTTCAGGTTTCCCTCTTCATTCAGCTCCTCCAAGTACCACCTCTTCAACAATTAACGTGGACTTTGATGCTGTTTTTGGAGGAAAATCTTCAGCACCAGAGTACAGGACTGCAAGTGGTAAAAACTGGCTTATGACTAATTTATACCCTACAGGCAACAGTTGCTTAACAATTTAGCATAATTGCTCTTGCAGTTCAAAATTTAATAACTTAATATATTTGCAAGGTGATTATGGGCCTGATAAGAGGCAATCAGTTCAGTTGTAGTTACTTGCTTTAAAATAGCTCTGACTAATTTCATCCATTGTGTAATAATGGTTTCCTCTCTTTCTGGGGGAGCGAACTTTGAACGGGGCCCACTGGATCTCCCTTAACGGGTAAGCTCGTGTTCGTTTGTTTTCAGTGCTTAGGACTTCAGTGTTTTCTCTTGCTACATGATAATGAGTTCCCTCAGACTCCACTGAGAGGCATTGTACTTGCAGAAATGCAAAACTAGGTGTGTGTGTGTGTGTTGCTTGAAGAATATCTGAGTTACAGTCCTGGTCTTCTATATAGTAAAGGAGCTCTTGTGTACATTCAGGATACTGGCAGTATCATGAAAGTACCACTGTATTGAAATTAACTTTAACAACCCCACTTCTTCTGCAGTTTTAGAGGAGATTCATCTTATTTTGAAAATGACATTAGTGTCTGTTGAAGTACAATTAAAGATTTTACTGGATTAGTAGCTACAATATAGTATTTCATAAAAAACTAAGAGGTTAAATTCTGCTTCCATCCAAGTCTTAGACATTTCCAGCATATTGAACCTCCACATAAAACTACTCAAATGACTTAGTGTTCTGTAAAGAAAATATCTCCCTGGATTATGGATGTCTTTTTTTAAATGCAGTGTAACCATTTTGTTAACAGTTGCTTTTGTGCTCTTGGTTTAGCTTTTACCTTTCTAGATGATGTGTTGCAACCCACAGTACCACCACAAAGTCAAAGAGCCAATGCAGCCAGCCAGCAAAGCGGAAAAATTTTGGCAAATGACCTCGATTCTTCACTTGCTAATCTAGTAGGAAGTAAGTGTGAATCTTTTAAAATTAACTTTCTTATTTGTTACTGAAAGCAAAACAAGCTTTTCCCCTCCAAAATGAAAAATGCTTAAGAATTTTGTCTGTTTCTTTTCCCCCACAGATCTTGGCTTTGGAGGAACTCCATCCAAAAAGTAAGGGCATATATGTTTTTAGAGTATTCTCACATGACTGTTTGGTAGTCTCTGGCACAGTTGAGCAGCACTAACATGGGAAGAGTCTCAGCTCTTGAAATAATCTGAAATAATCAAGAACCACATTGAAACAGTACGTTTGTGGTCAATCACCATAACACAGTCACCCTCAACTTTTGAAGTAGTTCACTTCAGTTTTGCAATTGTTGTATTTTTACTGAAGCATCGTGAGAGATCTTGCAGTTGCATCAAACTCCAGTTAACCATTGTGCTGTACAGTGCAGTAATGATAGTTTTACTTTTAACACAATCAGAACCCCCCAGACTTCACACTTACTGGAGCAGAGATACATAAGTAGTTACTGAAATCCTGAGTGTTTCTCCCACCCATAGATTCAGCCGTGTACATGTATTTAAGCATGTTTTGGTTTCCCGTTATGTTGTTGTTACTCTTGCTGTTGCCCCCCCGTAAAAACTAATACCACAATTTCATTTTTAGGTCAGACATGCAGTGGTCCCAGCCTACAGAGAAAAAACTTACTGGTGGAACTAACTGGCAAGCAAAAACAAGCACATCAACCACATGGAACCCGACTCCCCTACCCACCATTCCACACATGGTAATTTCTGTACTATGAAATCACACTTCATTCTAGCAAATGTTGCTTCTCTGCTTGAAATAACTTAAAAAGAACAACCAAGGCGTTTGGGACAAGACTGGTAGGAGGGGGAAAATGCTGGTAGGATCATGGAATCATGCAGAATGACATAGAGATTTTAGTATGCTTTATTTCCCTTCATTGTAAAACTTGTCCATTAAAGATTTATGTCTCAAGTGAAAGGTTGATTACCTGTCTCAGTTCATAAATTCTTTTTGGATTGAAAAAAATTATCCCAATCCAGAAAATTCCTGATGTGCATGTTTGAGATGTTCCCACTCCTCTTCCCAGGCACATGTGCACAAATAAACATCCTAAGAATGTGTTTTAGGGGAAAACTGCTTTTCCTTCCAGTTTTTGCTCCTTTTTCAGTTTTATCACATGAAATGCTGCTGCAACCCCTGTAAGGCACCTTAATCCTCAGGTCAAGCAGCACTTTGGACTTTTGATAATGGTCAAGAGCAGCTTCATATTTTTAACACAGTACAAAATGCTAAGTGGATCTTTTACAGTTATTTAAATGAAGAGTTTTCATTTCTTGGAGGGATACTTGTAGGCAGCTGACTTTTCTTGTGCTTTTAGAAGAGATTTTTCAAGTATCTTGTATTCATACAAATACAAACAACTTTTCTGAAATGTAGCTGCCTTAGAGGGAAGTAGAATGTCCATCTCAGTTATATGTACAACTTAGGGTAATTACTACATTTGCTATGAATTTTGGACTGCTGTCTGACTGCATTTTGCAATAAGAATAGCTAACCTCTAATGCCTGTTTTCCTCGTCTTACATGACTATGCTTATTCAGAATTAGCAAAGTTTAGTAGAATATTACATCCAGTTTTGGACTCAAAAATGAGACTAAAAAATTTAGATGAGAGGGTGTCTCAATTGTATGGCACTTTGATGTGAGATTTTTTTGAGACCACACCATCTCTTTAACCCCTCTTGATGCTCTAGAACATGCTGTTAGAGTGCTGATGCACTGTGGATTTGGGATTTGTGGTTTTATTTCATGTGTTCATGCTTATTACTTTCTAGTCTAAGCATTTGGGTGTTTTGTGCCAGGTGTCTGCTTAGGCATTTAACATGGAACTCCAGCAATTGATGGTGCACAGATCTAGCCCAGCTATGAGCACCTTTAGAATCTGTGTCCCAGTACTGAAAAGCTCTCCCTGTCATGGCTTGGCCTGTGGCATTCAGGGTAGTAACCCTCCAATTCATGTATCACCTGCTTACTATTCCATAGCCAAGTGCTTTGTTTAGCACTCAATTTCCAGTATAATTAGCACTGTTTAACAAAGTTTGGCAATATGAAGAGCATGCATTGCTGTGCCTGTGAACATAACCTGATACAAGGCTTAAGATGCTCTTCATTTTTCTTCTTCCATATTGTGATATGTTGCAGACATGAGATCTTGGTATGGAGCAACATTCACATGACTAAACATCTGTTGCTATTTGCTTTTTAAGCAAAATGGTCACTGCCTTCCTTGTGTTTTTACTATGCCCTTCTCACACATAGTGGGAGGAAGAAGGAATATTTCGTGCTGTGTCCTCTAAGAGCTTCTCACACACGTGCTTGTGCAAGGAATATACTCACATCTGGCTAGGTGTAGTAAAACTTCTAATTTTTCTGTAAGTCATATTAGTGATAGTTTTCTAAGCATAGTTGCTGATATTACTGTTCTTGCACTCTTTCCTCCCACTTCGATTGTTTTAATACGTGAGTTGAGCATAGCTACAGACTGTTATGGTACTGGACTTGAATCCATCCCTTGGTTAGAATTTCCAGTTTGAATACCTATTAAATAATTTTCTGTCTTATCCTTTTGCTGTGCCAGAATGGAGTACACTATCCTGGATATGTAAGTCGATTTCTTGTAAATATGTTGGTTATTTCAAGTACTGAAAAATGTCTTTTTCAAAGTTTTATATATAGTGCTAGTATGCATGAGCTTCTCTAAAATGTATCAACATTTTCTTGATTGAAGGTACCTGCTCCTATCACATACCCATTGACCACACCTCAAGTGCCTGTATATGGAATGGTAAGAAATGTGATTGTTTTATATTCCTGAAAACTAAGTTTTCTTCTCTAGTGAGTTCCATGGCATGCATTATTATGTACAAACCATTCTGTAACTTCAGTATATTGACAATAACTGTTTGAAATCTGATAGCTTTTTCACACCTTGCATTGAAAGAGATTACTCTAAATTTTATATAGCAGGTTTTTTAAAAGCTTTGACTTTACTGTGTGTGTGTGTGTGTCTATATGCTTATTTTCTACTATAATTAAATGCAAAAAAAAGAAGTATCTTGTGGAATTAGTTTGAATTTTATATACTTGTCTCGTGGGGGGTTTGTTTTTCTAACAGGTACCTCCTCAGGTTGGAGCTGCTCCTTTGATGGCACCCCAGTCAATGATGTATACACAGCCTGGTCTAAGGCCAACAAATCCTTTTGCACCTGTTTCTGAAACTCAGGTGAACGGTGTTCTTTAACCTTGTGATGACTTTGAAACTTTAGTCTTGGTAAAAGCAACCAAATGCTTCATGAAGAGCTGCTGGTGTAATTCTGTGAAAGTGAGGGGTTCCTCAGCAGCTTTTGATGGTCAGGAGACAAATTCAGATATGAGATCATACAATTGCAGGAAGCAAGGAAGAAATTAAAAATGAGAGATTTAGTGGTATATCTCACTGTGTCAGTATTAAGAAATTGGGAGTGGTGAAGATATGTAGGTTTCAGACTTCCTGTGACATTAGCTGGATACTTGGTTTAGTCATACTGACTAGAGCAGTGTTGAAAGCTTCCTGCAGGATCAAGGGATGGGGGAGTGAAAAAGGCTTGGACAGAGGTCATTGAAGCTGGAGAAACTGTGTATTCCTGTCATCCAAATATGTTAGTCTTAATGTCTCTCGGGGGTGTTTTAAAGTGCCACAGCCTACAGACTTAGCTTGTAACAAGGCAGTCAAATAGATTCATAATTCTGAAACAGAGAAACCCTGTGTTATTTAAGTGGCATTAATATGTTATCTCTGCTTCACAGATACAGTTTATGTAGAGCCACCAAAGCAACAAGATGTGAGAACAACCAAATACTGGTAAAAAATGAAAAGACTGAATTTCAATCTTTCCATGATGTATTCCTGAACAGGGCAACTGTTTTTTTCCCTGTATAATACAATATTATTTTGAATTGCAATGCTTTAGAGATTCTTGTTTATAACAGTCACTGCAGTGTGAAGTCATGTTTGTTCCCTGATTTTTATTATTTTTTTTTTAAACTGCTCAGCAGAAAACTGTATTTTTGAGGTTGACTCAGAAGGTGCAAGCTGGATTATCATCTTCAAAGCCGAAGAGAAGGTTACATGATTGCTCTACAACCTTAATCATCAGTGGATGACCTTGGGAATTGACTGAGGATGTCAAAGCTATTTATTTTCTCCATAAATTCTGTGGCTGTTGTAACCAAGACACAACACAAATCAAGTTGAGCAATAAAATTTTTATGTGCTCTAATAAATACTCCGACAGAGCAATGCTTGCATTATCATAAGGCCAATGTTGTGTGAAATCAGACAGCTTTTTCACATTAGAATAGCTTATAGTAATTTGCAAACTTTATAATGTGAGTTTGAAATGCTGTGAATCAACAAGACACATACTTATTACATATATATATATATATATATAGTAAAAATAACAAATTGCTCCACTGGTATATCAGTGTTACAGGGGGAGTTAAAAGAGCCGGGCTCTGATGTGGGCTGCAAGTCTGTGGTGGAGGAGGGGAGACAAGTGTGTGACAGAACAGCACGTGCAGCCTGCAACAGGTGACAGGAGCTGCACTTCCATCAGGTACCTTCTCTGCAGGTGGCATCTTTAATCCTTCAAGGAAGAATAGCTTTCGGAGCCAGTGCCTGTAGGTGTCCCCAACCTCAGCACATGGGAGCAATCTCAAAATCCTGTTGCCAACTGCAGTCGAGACAAGAGATCCAGTTCTTCTTTTTAAAGTCCATTAAGTCAAAAGACTCAAACCTTGCAGTCATGCTGACACTTGTGAACTGGCAACTATATGGAAATTATCCGGCTGTAGAAAATAGCTTGTGCTGCTTTTTTGAAATAAGAACCTAGTTGTAAACCATATAAAAGTAATTATTTTTAAATGTGTAAATATGTGCAAACTTTTAGATAATCGTTTCTTTGATGCTGCAGTAATCTTTTTCTTCTGTAGTAATTTCAAGGTTCAAATGCTACGTTAAGAAATCCAGACTCTTTTTGAGAGGAAAATCTTTTAAATCAACTAATTTATGAGGTATTGCTGTTCACAATGGGTCAGATGTGTACAGACTTCTGGCACATCTTTTGTATTTAAGAATCTTCCTCCAGAACTGAAATTGGCTATGAAAATGCCTTATCTTGTATTTTTCACTGTCTGAGAAAAAGCGATAGCATTAAAAAAACCCAGTAGTTATAATAAGTAGATGGAACTGGGAACAACCTTTCCTCCAGAAGTTTCATGGCAGAACACAATGAAAAGCTCTCCCATAAAATTACTTCTAATGATTAATATTAAAGCTGAGTTTTCAAAAAATGAGTAGTTTTCTGTTGTTACAGTAAATAGACCTCCAGAGTAGTAAGTCTTTTATCTTTTGGAGAGTCTGTAATTGCAGAAATGCCTCTGACTCTGACCACAAATGCAGGTAGGCCTGAGAATCTTGTCAAACTCTCTGGTAGAGAACTTCTAAATTACAGCATATTCCTCAAAGTGGGAACATGCCTTCTCTTTTTCCCAGTGCTTAATTCTGTCCAAAGAGTGCAAAAGCAGTATCTCTTAACCCTATGGAAATATTTTTGCCAAATGAAATAACATAAAAGAAGCAAAATAAAACTCCACTCCCCAACCCTTGGAATCTGTAACTGCTGATTTCTTGGGAAATGTAACCTTGCAGAAATTTAAAACTCAGAATTCCTTGATTTTAAAAGAATTTGGACCAGTATATGGCAATTTAATGTTCAAGTTTGAATTACAAAGGGCTTCAAGCTTTAAACCACCTTTGCTGGGTTGAACAACTGTACCATTTTAAGCCAATGAGTTCTTCAGTGCCTATAGTTGCCCTCCACATGACGAGGGAATAGATGCCATTTAGAGTAAGTCATTGTGTTGAGGGGACTGTTCATTTAAGAAGTAGTTGAATTCCATTGATTTATTCAGCAATGCAAAGTCTTGTGTTCAGATTAGACCAGTACATGCAGTTATAAAGTCTGGGCATTAGTGACAGAGGTGAGAGCGCTACAAGCAGGCAGTTCCATGCACTGTAAGCTGTTAGGTCTCCTTCATACTGAGTTGTATAAGTAATAATTAATTATTTTAATAAAATATACAAATAAATGCCTGGCAAGCAGTATATATTTGTTATAACTTTATTGCAGAGCGTTCTGAATATCTGGAATGTACTTGGCTCAGAAATGGATTTAGTACTAGGTAATAGTTTGCACTACTTCTGATTTGCTCTGGATCTTTTTAATGGTTCTTTGGTTAGCTTTCTTGTAGCAAAGCTGTCTGATACCAGTTTATTTAGTATTAAAAAAGGAGAAACAGCCACAAAGTACATTCTGAAAACTTTATAACCTACCTTCTTTTTAGTCTCCTTCACAATGTTTGATACTTTGAAACACAGCATTCACTTTGATCCCTGTGAAGCAAAGGTTGCTTCTCTCTGCACACGAGTGCACAGGACTGGGTTTTGCCAACCTCTTCCTCGTGCACGTATTGGAATGCATAAAATGGCAGAGTGTATGTTTCAGTAACATAATTCATACATAAGAAGTGAAAACCAAGGACTTGGGATGCTGTCAAGGCTTTTATGGCTCAGAAAAAAACACCCAACACTTTGAAGACCAAGGTTGTTCTTGAAGGGTGACTGTAACAGGCCAAGGAGCTGCAAATAGAAGTTATGATGAGTAAAACAATGGAGATGTATAGAAATGTGACTTTTCTTCCAGTTTGTTTGGTCAGAATCACATTGTGAACACTTCAGAAAGCAGGTAACTAAGATGTCTCTCCGTGTCTGCCTGAACAAGGAGGAAGACTCAAAGTACTCCGTGGGCTTTGCATTATTGTGCTGTAGTGGGTCATTTGAGCCACACCGGTGGGAGTTGGTGCTGCTACAGGCAGGCTGTCCATCATGGGATGCAACATAGGGTAACTTCTGGGGGAGTTGGGAAAGGTGGATTGTGTGAGGCCTGTTGGACTTGAACGTGTATCTCCTTTTAAATAACTGGGGTTTTCTATTGTTCTCTAGATGTAGTTTGACTTTGCCTCCAAGAAGTTACTGATTTTGTTTTTTATAAAAAATAATTTTGGACATGTGTACTAGAGAAATCTCAGTTCTGTGCCCAGTGGTGGAATATTTGTAGGTACAAATAACAAATGGACTTCCGGTTTAGAAAAACCACCACCACCACCAAACAACAGCAAAACCCACACATACAAAAGTAACAACAACAAAACTTCTGACTGCCAGATTGAATACAGGGTGTATTCCCAGCTGGGTTTTTTGATGTGTGGCAGGGAGGGGGGGGGGTATATCTGACCGTGCCTTGAGTTTCCTAGGAAGTTGGTTTAACTTTCTTTTTTTTTTTTTTGGGGGGGGGGGGGGGGGGGGGGGGGGTTACAATTAGAATAGTAATGCACTGTGGATCGGTGCTTAATTTGTACATAAAAAGGAAAACTTTTTGTTTTGGGTAGTTTGTATTGTAAGAACAGCATCTAAAGGCACTGTGTATCAGTCATCTATTTCCATTTAAAAGATTATATTTTTGAGCAATGGAAACTGTACATGTTATCATTTATACATTACTGATAGGTAGGAATAGAGAAAACCTGTTGCTATGACTCTGAAGATGTATCTGACTTGTCATTGATCTGTACATCGCTGCATCACTACCTTATACAAATTCTCATGCTCATTTAGTTAAGGAGATTGTAGTAACTGGTACAGTTACAACAGGAATTGTAACGTCAAAACTTTCAGTATATCTCAAATGTGTATCCTTGTAGTTAAGTTTAATCCTTTACCAAATGTTTGGCTGGAATTTCATCTTGGAGCAATGACACAATCGGTGCTGGAACAGATTTCCCTCACCCCAACCCACACTTTATTTATTTGATAGGTCTTGTTTTGTATGTTATATTTTCCCCCATGACAGGTTTGTGCCTTTTATTGGATATTTATTTAAAAGGAGCGATAATTTAGGTTGCTTTTTTTCAGATGTATTCTTGTACAGCTGTTCCTTTATGTGAGTTCCTTCGTTTTATAAGAATACAGAATGTGTGGAATATACTAGCCACAAACTGGAAAAAAATTTTGAGGGTTTATGTTCTATGAATAATTTTTTTAAAACGAAGCCTAAGCACAAGACTGGCTGTGTTGATATTTTAATTGTGGAACTTCACAATTTGTTAATACGCAAATTGTTTGTTTTTTAAAAACTGCTCATATCCAATTATTTGATGAAACAAGTTTTGGAAAAAAATAAACTTTGGCACATGCAAGATGTGTGTATGTGATTATTTTTCCATATGTTTGAGGGCTTAAGGCTATAATGCTGATAATGGCTGAATTAGGGTGTTTGAGTGCCTCGTTATGCCTCTGCATTTACATTGAAGAGAAGGCTCCAGGGAGAACTTAGAGCCACTTCCATTGCCCACAGGGGCTCCAGGAGAGCTGGAGATGGACTTGGGACAGGGGCCTGGAATAATGGGACACAGCAGAATGGCTTTAAACTGACAGAGGGCAGGGTTAGATTAGATATTGGGAAGAAACTCTTCCATGTGAGGATGGTGAGGCCTTGGCACAGGTTGCCCAGAGAAACTGTGGATACCCCATCCCTGGAAGTGTTCCAGGCCAGGTTCGATGGGGCCTGGAGCAACCTGGTGTAGTGGAAAGTGTAGGCACCTAAAGAGTAGGACCTGCACACGGGTGACCTCAGGGTCTCTCCTGGAGTGCCTTGACCACCACCAAGTTAAATGTTTGGCTTTCTCACCATTTCATACCCTGAAAGTCACGACAGCAGGAAGTGTAAAGGTTCTTTTTATAGCTCTGTGTGTTACCCTGTAAGAAGTCACAATACCAAAAAGCAGCAGCCTTAAAGACCAGTATTTTTAATAGTTGTATTTTTGTTTCTGGAGGTTGCAGAGGTTTCAGTTGGGAGCTTGGGCTCGTTAATAGTTCATTCCTGTTGTGTGACAGCTCTGTGTCAGTGCTGAAGGCCCGGAATCCACCACTGAACTGCAAGACCCTCCTCCAGATCCATCCTCTCCCCCTCATCCTCCTGCTCCCTCTCCCGCGCCTTCCCCGGCCCCGCCCCCTGTCCCAGCCGGCCAATGGGCGCCGCCCTTTGCGGAGCGCGGCCCCGCCCACCTCGCGCGCTGACGCGGCGCGCCCCTCCAAGACCGGCATCCAATGGGCGGCGGCGCGCGCGGCGCCGACGTGATGACGTTTGGTCCGCCGCGTGCCGTCGCGGGGCGCGCGCGCAGCGTCGGTTCCCCAAGATGGCGGCGGCCGGAGGCGGCGAGGCGGCGGCGCAGGGCGGGCGGCGCGGCCCGCTCGGCATCCCCGAGGCGGCCTTCGTGGTGAGCGGGGACGGGCACCGGGCAGCCCCGGGGCGGCCGGGGGGCGGGGGCTGAGCGCCACCAGCCGGCCCCGGCCCCGGCCCCGTGAGGCGGCACCTCGGCGGGGTCGCGGCCTGGCGGGCGGGCGGTGCCCCCTCATGGCCTCAGCCCTGGGCATTTTCCTGTTTGCCCCCGGCCTGGTGGTGTTAAGCATTAATGCACTTTACAGGAAACTCGACCCCCGCGTTAGGCGTTACCGTGTGTTTGCACGGCCCGGCTCAGGGCGGTGAGGGGCCGCCCTGTCACTGTGTCCCGGTCCCTCCTCACCGGGCACGCCGGGCCCCCCCTGTGCCACCTCGGGCAGTGCGTGCTCCAGGCACCTTCCCCGCATCTGCCTCCCAGAGTCCCATGTGTGACTGCTGAGCAGATCCATCCTTCAGAAGGGACCATGTGTCCTTCTTGAAAACCAACAAATGTGTATCTTTCGGGAAACAGGCAGAACTTGTTTATCCAACTCCAAAAACTGATGTACCAAGCATTTGATGATTCTCTTGACTGGCTGAAAAGGAGGAATCATTGGCTTATGCAGTGATACAATCTCACAATTGTCTGCTTGCGTTCTGCTGTGAGTAGGCTCTTAGTGCACCATCCTGATTGCTTCTTTATCTCATCTGATCAATAAGTATTGATCAGGGTGGCCGTCCCTGGCTGCCCTGGTGCCCTGGAAGTGTTGAGGTTTGTTCATTGTGCTGCTTTGTTACTGAGATGTTCTTGGACTTTGAAAATCTGCAGTTCTCAGATCTCTTATGTCTTTGCCAGAGCTGTTTGGACTGATCAGATCTGACTGCTTTTATAGAAATACGTGGGTTTGACCTGCATTTTGGTTTTCCAGGTGTAGTGCTTTTCCTTCACAGGCATGGGGCCTCACCAAACACGGGGTATAGGACACTTGGTTTCAGTGCATCCAGTTTCTCCTTTTCCTTTAAGGTTTTTCAGCAGTCACTGGGCTCTGGCAAATCCTGCTGGGCTGTAAAATGATTGCTGCTTGCAGCAAACTTCCTTACAGCTCTTGTGGGACCGACACAGACACAAGTGGAAGGGAAGGGCTGTGTCTTCAGCTGCCCTGTGAGACCTCACTGATCATGACAGAGAACATGTGCTCTGTGCTGGCTCTGCAGTGGAGGTGCCACCCTGGCAGGAAACAGGAGTTAACCAAACACTTTGAGGGCATGTGTCCCATCCCTCATTCTGTGCTGGTGGCTGTTGTTGCAGCTGCTGTGTTTGGTTCTGTGTTGTTTCCTTTTTTTTTCTTTTTCTTCAGAACATTATATCCTGTCATGATGATAAAAACTTTCTGATCATTTGCTTGACATTTCCCCCAGCACACGCTGCATGGGCAGCCTGACTGTGCATCTTGTCTTCAGAGGTGTTTTCTGTGAGTGTCTTGGTTCCGTAGAGGCTCTTCAAACAGTTTATGGCTGATGTCTTGTCTGAGCCATTGATCTGTGAATTCTTGTGCCTCTCCAGGTTTCAAGTGACGTTAAGCCCTGACTCAGTGTTTTACTGGAGTCTTAAGAAACACTCCAGATAGAATTTCCAGCTCTGGTGGGTTTGAGCTGTAGCCCAGATGTTTCCAAACAGAAAGCCTTCTTTGTTCTGCCTTCTTCAGCAGGGCTGAGGATCCAAATCTGCAAACACGTGTCTCTTGTCTGTTCCCTGCACGTGCCCACAGGTGCTGACAGCTCTGCAGAGGCAGTGCCTGCAGTGCTCTATTTGGGTCATCCCTCAGAAGATAACCATAGGGATGAGTGGGAATGTGCTTCCTGCTGCACTTCAAGGCTTTCACAGGCATTCCTGTGCCTTGGCTTGACGTTTGCAAAGATTGTGTTATAGCTACAGTACAAAACATGGTGTTTTGCCAGTGAATTTTCTTCCTAAAAAGATGGAGATGAGTTTTGGCAGGTCCTTGCAGAACCTGTAAGGTGATTCTGCAGTTGAGGTGCTGCAGGATACATGACAAAGCAGGGAGCCTGATGGCATTGACACCCAGCTGTGCCTCAGAGCTCTCCTGTCCAAGCTCAGCCTTGCAGGGGGGGAGGTGGGTCCAAAGCCTGACCAGCGGCCTTGAAAGCCCCAGCTGGAAAACCTGGGGGGTAAATCTGAGTCCACCTTGGATGGGGCATTATGCAGTGGGAGGAGATCACCAGTCTGCAGG